CATTAGACAGGAAGCAAAACAATGACAACGTCAACAACAAGCGTAAGAATGGAACAAGATCATCGGAGCTGAACACAATGGACATCATCTAGGACATGCCAGATCCCTGCTGGAGGAGATTTCCCACAAGAAGAACCATCTTGCCTCTTATTGGCTGTGGTCTTAAAATGAGGGAAGACTCCAGCTAGAAAATAAAACATTGCTCTATTGTCCCAGTAGAATTCCAAGCGGAATATTGACCAATGAGAGTCGTGTCAACAGAAGCAAAGCTGAACATCTTTCTTTACTTGCTTGAATTTTCAGAACATGGAATTTGTTTTTGTATTGTGTTAAATTTCATATTGTTTTCTGTTAGATCTTAATATGAAAATTTGCACAAAATGTGTGAAAATCAAGACAGAACTTACAATTATTTTCTGTAAGTTTTAAAATCTGGAAGAGCATAAAGACAAAGAAGGCTTCTTTGAAAGAATCATTCTAAATTGATACTCCAAAATGCTAATAATTTTTTAAGAGGATGTTACAAAGAAAACCTACCCTTAAAGTGGATGGTTCAGTTTTAAATGAATCTTTGACAATCTGTGAAGCCTTAGAAGCATTTTGGACACACAAGGCACTGTTCTTTGAATGTGTGAAAGTTCTAACATATCATGACGTAGTAATGGCCAAAGTCAAGAACATTTAATAGGAAATACATATCCCCTTTGGTCCTTGCAGTTGTATGTCCATTTCTGTTACAGAATTAAGAGCATTTCTGGTCTATTTCCATCTTTGTTTTGTGTTCTCCTTCCATGTTTTTGAAAATAAGAAACGTGTTCGGCAGTTCCTGTTACTTCATATTTACTGTTGACAGCAGAATTTCAATATATTCTGTAAATTTTAGCTGGAACTGAACACACAAAATACTGTGTCATAGAGCATTTTTATTACATTTTATATTCGTAAACACTTCCAGAGAGGAAGTCTGTTAGACATATAGTTTGAATTAGTTGAAGTGGCATGATAGTACAGTCATAAAACTGAAACTGCTTATAAAATTTATTAAAACTCATAGGATGAAAATGTCTACAATGTTGATACTGTGTTCTTCTTGGTTGTTGACTTCTGTGAATGTTCTTGCTTAAAGCTTTAATATCACAACTTCTGCTTACATTTAATAATAATTTTACTCTAGAGTAAATGTTATTGCATACAAATGTAAAGAATTCATATCTCTTCTTCTTCATCTTCTTATATGGCTCTCCGGTCCGTATTCGGTCCATGACCTCCTCAATTCTCCTCTTCCGTTCGGTCCTCTGTTAGGTCCATTCTGCCCGAGGCTTTGATCAAGGTTTCCAAACATCTTCCTTTTTACGGTGCAAGGTTGTTAGCCTTGCGACCAACCCCCAACCTGGAGGACCAGGGCACTTGTCTTAGTCTGACCTCTCCCCCTCGACCAATCTGGCTAGGGAGGCCCTACCAGTAGCTCTTGGGGTCACTGAGGTACTCAAGCCCCACCACCACGACAAGTCCAGGTACCATTAAGTGGGGTCTTATATCTCTGCGATGTTAAATAAGTTTTATTTTTCATTAGTCACTCATCAGTAGTAAGTGTGACAAAATTAGAAAAAAGGAGTCTTGGATTACAAGTTTTGGTACTATCTATTCATTCCACTGGCTTACAGTATTTTCACGTCGGGGCAATGGTCGTAAAATTTTGCTTAACACTCATTGAAGTTTAAACCCAGAAGCAATTTTCGATATTAATGTAACAAGCGCAAGAAGCCTCATTATCATGAAAGTTTAGGGATGCCGGATTCAAAATATCCATTTCCGTTAAAAATAAATTTTCCCACCACCTCTTCTCCTAACCATGTGGTCACTTTAAACTTCTCATTATCCCTTTTCCCAACTCACATGATCACTAAAATTCTTTCATCACCTCGTCTCCTTACTACATGACCCTAAAAAGCTGTTCGTTGCCTCTTTTCCTTAACCACCTGTTTGCTGCCGATTGGATAGCAACTCATTTCTCTGTTCTGTCAATCAGATCTCTCACGTCCCACATTCCGCCTAATGCCTGCTCTATATAAGGCTTCATAAGAATCCCCAAGATAAATTCACGCTGAAGATAGCAACTGCAGAATTTGCTGTAACATTGAAGAACACACAACATTGAACGTGGCTCATCGCCGAAAACCGAAGTTCTGCGGTGAATTCGAGCCACAAAAACCTCGGAGTAAAAAAATTCTGTTATAAATTGCAGTTTCAATTAAATTGTCTGTATATCTTGTCATATTTTGAAAATTATGTTTAATGCCGGTAAATTAGTACCAACACATACTGTGCTTGAACAGAATATGTAAACCTATTGTAATAACATGCTATCAGCAGGGATCTTTATGTTCATTGTGAAAATTTTAATATTTTGTAGGATTACTTTCCTTAAAGAGGAACATGGTTTAAGGTTGAATTATATTTAAATATGTGGAGGTAGGAAACAAGAAATATAATGTTTTTGCATTATAAAGAAGTGAAGTGCTGGAATGCATTTAAATAGAGTTACAATTATTATTTCTTGGTCTACTCTCAGGTTACCCAGTTCTTATGTTTTTGTCGGCATGAAAGGGTATTCACTGTGTGGAAAAACAAGATTTTGGGAAGTGGTCACACTGATAGTGATTCCCCAACCAAGTGTGGGAATGAAAGCATTTTTTTACCTGTTTCACCAGACATGATAGTTTTCTTACGTGTTTTATTTCATATTCTCTGTTTATTATGTTTTTTAAGCATCAAATTTTTTTCATATATCACTGTTACTGTTTTCTTTTGAAGTTCTGTTTTATATACAGGAAAATACATAAAATTTTACAGGCTGACTCCCACAAGTAATTACGAAGCAGATAAAGTAATACTGAATACTGGCATAAAATAATTATTGAGCTTTGTACTGCTTTTCTTTTAGACAGATCTGGGCTTTATTTCGTGCATTCAGCACATGGTTTCATGGTTTCTTACTTGGTTCCCTCCAGTCCACTCGAATCTTTCCATTACATTCAAACGTAAGTTGTGCCATATGAGGTATATATACCACAGGATGTATCCATACTGATACATCATGGAGACAATTGATCAGAATGGGAGTAGACATTCCGTTGGTGCTACAATTTCAAGTGCAGTCTTTTGTATAATCATTAGACTACTTTAGAAGGGAGAATTTTAAAGATGCTGTAGTACTAAATTGAATTACAGGTAGGCCCTGCTTTACGATGCTTCATTTCACGCTGTTTCACATTAACGCCTGAGCAAATAAAAAAAATATAAGAAGAAAATTTGAAAATGCAAGCATAAACGCAGCACAGGAAGTGGGTACCTAGGCGGTGCTAGTGTCGGCATCAGTTGCTTTCTCCTCGTCCACCGGTAAAGTACATTATAATTCTTTCTCGATTTAAGCCACTTCAGCTAACGGACCTGAGGACGTGGAATTTAACCCCGGCATAAATCGGGGCCTACCTGTATTTAAAAGAAAATCAGATCAGAATCAAAGGGAAGCATAAAATGTCAATCAATAGGGATTGTCAGTAATAAATCTGTCGATGATTTGTTAAAATGACTATTTAAATGCATGTACATTTTAAACTAAAATGCAGTACATTCGTATTTCATCTTGATTAAGTCAAAATGTTGGTCCATAATCCTATAAAAACATAAATAGGAATAAAAATATGAACTACAATTTGTGATTTGTTATGGTGCTGAGTTTAAATTGGCATATTTATTTCTTACCTAACCTCTAAAGTACTGCATTTTTGTTTCACATATACGAAATCATATTTCCAAATAGCAATTAAGTGTTAACAGAAGACAGTCATAGATCATCTTAATTATTAAATGTTGCAAAAAAAATTGCAACTTAAACTGTGATACAAACGTTGTAATGTAGATATCTTATGAAAACAAAATGGACCAATATGCTTAAAAATATACTTGTGTGATCCTTACTCCTCTATTACGAAAATCTGTAAATATAAGTAATTATTGACATGTTGTTATAAATAATAATTGCTTAAATGCATATATATTTAATCTTTATCATTATTTAGAGTGAATTAAAAAAAAAAAGACACGATGGTTATAGTTTTTATGGTAACTCTGGTGTTATTGCCAACTGCAGAGAGTGAAATTCTCCAAGTAGTTCTGTGTCTTGCTGTAGATGGAACGACTTGCGTCATCTCCGGCTGTTATGAGTCAAAAGGAAGTGTTGTTTTGTCCGCAGCAGTTCCTATACAAATTTTGTGCAGGTAACATTGTTTTGTATTCGTTTTCATGGGTTACATACTCTAGGTGAGCAAAATATTTTTGTATTGTGTTGAATTTGATATGCTCAAACTAGTGGTACTATTACATCAGATAGCACCCATTATTGTATGCCATTGGACGCTGTTTCTTAGCTTCTTTCTACAGCAGAAATGGCTTCAGCGCAAGGGTTGCTGTTAGGTTAGGTTTAGTTAGGCTAGAGACTGTCATACAGAGATCGGACATCACTGGGACTGGGTCCGTCAGAGAGAGGTTTCATCAAAGACCGGATAAGGCAGAGCACTGTGCTGACAGCGAACGGGTGGGGAGATTTTTTGAATATTTTTTTGAAATTTTTCCAAATTTTCAAAACATAAAAAAATGCTGGAAATTGTCCAAAAAGCGCACGAAACCAAAAAAAAAAAGTTGAAATTTTACCTTCACAATTTTTTAAAAAAAAATCGAAAATTTTAGTTTTTGTGCGCGTTTCAGTCAATATCCAGCATTTTCTTATTTTTCAAAATTTTTGAAAAATCTGAATTTTTTTTCCAAAAATTTCACTGCTAGATCTATACAAGAACCTGTATCTGCCAAACCCGATCTAATACAGGCACGCTCTGTCTCACCCGATCTGTGCTTCAACCGGTCTCCGTCAGACACGTCCTCTGCCTCACACGGTCTTTGCCAGACTCAGAATATCTCATAGGTTAGGTTTAGTTAGGCTAGAGATTGTCATACAGAGGTCGGAAGTTACTGAGACAGGTTTCGTCAGAGAGAGGTTACGTCAAAGACCGGATGAGGCAGAGCCTGGCCCCGGACTTGCCATGCCTGGCCTTGCCTTGCTCTGGCATTGCTTGCTTCCCCGGCATTTGAAAAATTTAAAAAAAAATTGAAAATTTTCTCCTTCAAAATTTTTTTCAAAACTTTCAGAAATCTTTGGTTTTATGCACTTTTCAGACAATTTCCATCATTTTTGGATTTTTTGAAAATTTTCAATTTTTTTACCAAAGGTCTCCTCAAGAGATGCATGCCAGTCTCGGTGAATGCCACAGCCTGTCTCTGCCTGACTCGGCCTCTGCCTCACCCAGTTGCTGCCTGCCTCGTTTCCTGCACCAACCGGCCTCTTCAGTACTCTGGTCTCTGCACGTCCCTGTCTGCCTCACGTGTTGTCCGCCGCACATGTACTTCTCAGAGATGGCACGTCAGAAGCGTGTCATACAGAGACCGGTCCGTGCAGAGCCCGAGACAGGCACAGACCGCATTCGTCAGAGACGCAGTACATCAGAAACAGTCCGAGAGAGACCTGTTCTGCAAGGCATCAGCAGGTGGAATTTTGAAAAATTTCAAAATTTTCAAAAAATTCAAAATTGCTGCAAATTGTCCAAAACGCGCACAAAACAAAAAAAATTGAAAAATTTCACTTTCAATTTTTTTTCCACAATTTCCAAAATTTTTTGGTTTTATGCGCTTTTCAGACAATTTCCATCATTTCAGGATTTTTTAAAATTTAAAAATTTTCAATTTTCTTAACAAGGTCTCCTCAGGAGATGCATGTCACTCTCGGTGAATGC